TATCAACTTTTTCTTGATTCATAGTATTGATTTCCAATTTAGTTGGTTTTCAAGAAAAATTCTACATACTGAACTTCTTTACTGATTCACTTGAACATAAATTATGACATTTATGGGGTAAATTCCCTTTATCCTGTTCCCTCTCAAGTTCCATTCTCTTTCCTTACATAGCCAAGTTTTTATTAACACTTATTTTGATAGATGAGTCTACACTTGATGCCTACAATTCTTAACCTTCCATTAACCCCTCTTACACTCCACAGTTTGGTTTTCTACTCCCACTACTCCACAGTACTTATTAAAGTTACACAATGACTTCCTTGTTGCTAAATCCAGGGGCCACTTCCTTCTTTTACCTGCCACTGGTCTACCAATTGGTACTGCTAAATCCCTCTTCTTGAAGTTCTCGAATCTCAACTTATAGGGACACCATGTTTACCTGGTTTTCCTTGTCTCTCTTCTCCTGTCCACCCCTCTAACATTTACTATCCTTAATCTTTGCTTATGCATTTTGTCTGTTTTGTTCATTGCTATTCTCCCAACAGAGAAAGCCCTCAAAACATATTTGTTAAATGAACAAATGAATAGTCTTTATCTCTTCTTTCTCCATATTCTCTCTGGAAGACCATCTATACCCTCACACTTTCAACTAACATTTACAAGAATGACTTTTACTTCAGCCTCATCTTCTCTACAGAGTTCCAAATCTTTATGTCCAAATGTCTATAGAAAAAAATCCCTGTGGATGCCCCAAAGGCCCTCAGAAATAGGGAAGTCCAAACTGGTACTCATCATTTCCTCCTCTCCTCAAACCCCCTCTTCCTCTAAGATATTACCTACAACCCAACTAAGTGACAATTCCCTTTTCCTTCCTCCCAATTAGTCACCAAATCCTAATAATTCTACCTTCAAGTTTATAAATAGGACATAGAATCAAATCTACTCCCTCTCCTTATTCTCTCTGCCATTGTGTACAGAAGAAGGTAGGGGGAAGGCTCAGTTTTGAAAGTTTCCATAATCAGACAACCTTAATTTCATTTTAGAGGAAGGCAAAAATTTTTTTGACCTTTCTAATAAGATTCCCCCAAGGTCTTCTTTATGTCTAGGTTATAAGAACTTTTCCAACTTGCCTCTAAAATATTAATTACTTATGTATATGTCTAGTTGGTCAGGTTTCATTGTATTCCACCCATACAGGACAGAAGGTACCTTTAAATATCTGCAAAGCTATCCATAGGGAAGCCTAGTCCTTAAATTAAAAGCACATCCCACCACAATATATTCAAAATTATTTCATGCTTTCCAAGTTACCTTCTAAGTTTTTAAAATGGAAATTCTGTCTCAATGGCTCAATTATTAACAATCTGTTTCTACATATGATTGTTGTTCAGTAGCACTCCTCTAATTACTGAACTAAGGGAGATCTCTGCTACTACTGCACCCTCAATCACTTGTATTTACATCCTCCTAAGCCCACCTCATCTTGCCCATATACCCCTTGGTTCATAATTCAACTGCATGGCAACAGGATTTAACTTTCCTCATTAACTCCAACATCTTCATTCATTGAACAAATATTATCATTATGGGTTTTCTTGGTCTAGTGATTAAGCTAAATTTACATCCATTTTCATCATCACAAAGAAGAGACAAAATCTTAAATTTCAAATCTATACCATAACCCTCACCACTTAATAGTAAAGGAACAGCCTTGTAGTAAAGAAATAGCTCTAGTGCTTCTTATCACCCACTGAATGCTTCCTTTTTCATTTTGCGTTAAAGTTTGAATTTGTGCAGAAGAGACTCTTTTGTGAGGTCATAAAAAATTGAGAAACTTTGTACAACACAAACAGGTAAACAGAACTAAAAAAACGATGAGGATGGAGCCAAAACTGATAATTACATTAAGAAGTTGTACAGTAAAGCACTTATAGAAAAAATAAGGAAGTATAAGGTTAAGAGAAAGAGAAGTATGGTCATAATCTTCTTCTTTCTGGTTTTTTACTTTATCCCCTATTCTTTGGAAACAAATTAAGAAGAGAGATTAAAGGCAGTGTCTGTGAATAGTGAGGTGATACATACATTACGCTGCACACAAGGCACTGATGTCTGAGAGATGAAAGTTCCTATCCTCAGGCAGAGAAGAAAAGTCTAAGTGCTGTAGCAATGTTATAGACATAGTACTTCTGGAAAAGAGAAAGTGTAACTAAGTGGGCCTGGGGCATACAGAAAGAAGTGGTTCTAGAAGCTGAATTCCGAAGAACAAGTAGAAGAGGGGGAAAGGTAATTTCCCATATGGAAAGGAGAAAAAGGTCATTCAGACAATGAAATCAGCATGTATAAAGACTCCAGATATAAAAGAATTTAGGGGATTCTCAGCCGTTTGAGCAGAGTACAGGGTATATACAGAAGATTGAGCAGAAATGAGATGGAACATGAGATTCAAGAAGCTAAAGCATGAAAGACCTTGTACGAGACCACTGGATTCTTGAGGTTCTTGGTCACTACCATATATCAAGAACCTAGGACAGTGCTTGCCACTTTATAGGTTCCAATTCTAAAATTAAATGGGGGGGGGCACGTAGACTTCTAATGATTATCTGTATCTCTTCCTACAAAGAACTCCCTATAATGATATTTTGACAGGTGTTTTACCAAAGACTATCACAACAGACTTGTCTCATTTATCAACCCCGACTTCTAGGAACCCCCAAGCTGTTTGTCATCAACTGCATCAAGACAGCACTACTATCAAGTGTCATCCCTTGTCTTCTTCCCATGTTAACCTGGAGAGCTGCCTGAATAAACTTCCCTATTGAGATGAAAAGAATACCAGTTCCTTTAAAGGCATTCCAAGGGGAAATCTGAACATGAAGGTGTAGTTACTTCAACTTACAAAACCACATCTAATTATTGAATATACTTCATGCCTTCAAACATTCATACCACTTTGTTCCCCCCTCCCCAAAAATGTGTTCCTCTGCTTGCCTAAATAAGTATATAGGTTGAATATATTCTGCCAACACTCACAGCACAGCTTTGAAAGTGGCCTTTCTGATTATTAATTAAAGAGCCATTTAGTAAACCACAACCCGGGTTTTTAAAGAGAACTTGGAAGTGGTGGCCTCCACTGAGAAATCTATGAAGTAGCCCCCAGACACACAGCACTATATTCCATTACTGAGGCACTTGTCACCAAATGTAGAATAAAATTGTCTTGATAAAATTGAGGAAAGGACTCACAGGGTGACCTTTCACCCGGAAGTGCTAAACTCTGTCTATCCTGGTCCGTCTGAATTAGGCCCAAAGTGGAGAAAAATATGAATCTTCACTGAGTTTCTACCTCCCATTAGCTTCTATTTTTTCCCCCAAGATGAATTTTATTTTTTATCTTTCAAGTTTTTATTTAAATTCAAGTTAGTCAAGAGTAGAATTTAGTGATTCTTCACTTACATATAACACCCAGTGCTCATCACAAGTGCCCTCCTTAATGCCCATCACCTATTTAGCCCATCCCCCTGTCCACCTCCCCCCCAGCAACACTGTTTTTTTCTGTAGTTAAGTCTCTCATGGTTTGTCTCCCTCTCTGTTTTTATCTGATTTTATTTTTCCCTTCCTTCTCCTGTGTTCATCTGTTTTGTTTTTTAAATTCCAATTATGAGTGAAATCATATGGTATTTGTCTTTCTCTTTTTTAAAAAAAGATTTTATTTATTTATTTGTCAGAGGGCGAGAGAGCAGGAGCAGGGGGGGGAGAGGCAGAAGGAGAAGCAGGCTTCCTGCTGAGCAAGGAGCCTGATATGGAACTCAATCCCAGGACCCTGGGATCATGAACTGAGCCGAAGGCAGATGCTTAACCGACTGAGCCACCCAGGAGTCCTCTCTGACTGACTTATTTTGCTTAGCACAATACACTCTAGCTCCATCCAGGTCATTGCAAATGGCAAGATTTCATTCCTTTTGATGGATGAGTAATATATATATATACCACAATATAATATATACACCACATCTTCTTTATCCATTCATCACTCAATGGACATTTGGGCTCTTTGCATAATTTGGCTCCCATTAATTAATCACAGGAGTCCTAATGTCTCCAGACCAAGGCAGCTTATGCCATCCTTTTGGTATCTGTTCTCTGAGGAAAGACTCACTAACTTGGCTACAAATAGCAAAGGCTTGCTTTAATCCATCGCTTCCTCTCCTGATGTGTTATTTTTTAAGAAAATGCTTTGAAAATTTGCACTCTGTTGTAGGCAATGAATTATCTCTTCCAAAATTCACTTGGGAAATGTATACACTGATAAAATATTTAGGCTACACGTTTAGTAAGTCCAGAAGTTTGCTGAAACTAATATGCCAGAGGCCTTTTTGTTTTATCACCTTCCCATGCTAAAATTTTCAAATTTAGATGGTAGAGAAATGCAACAAGGAAGCCCATGGAGTCATCAGCAGGATCAGCTATATTACCAATAACCACCTCTCTTTTAAACTAGCTCTAGGCCAGCCTTAACTTATACCAAGTTAGGGACATACCAGGTAGTACAAAATTCAGTCTCGATACAAGTGGGTAATAAACAGAAAATAATGTTTAAGTTAGGGCACCAACATTATAATTGTGTGCTCTCTTAGATGGTCTCAGGTACAACAAGTTAATAAATCACCTGGCAATGTGCAATCATCAGGGAGGACAGTAAACCAGACCCCAGCCAAATGAAGTGGGAAATGCTCCATGAAAGTGGCATGGGCACTTAAAAGTGGAAGGGCAACCTTCAAAACCAAAGGAAAAGAACTGAGGCAAGAGAATTCATCAACTATATCACATCAGTAACAATAATAGCTAACATTGTATGTCAGGCACTGTGCATAGTGCCTTATATCCATCATTTTCCTTTATCCTCAAAACAACTCACGAAGTTGGATATTATTATCATTCACATTTTTCAGGTGAAGAAGCTGAGACTAGAAATGATGGGTAACGTGCCCCAAGTGACAGACCTAGTAAGTGCCGAATCTTTGGTTTACTAGTCCATCATCCAGCATCAACACAAGTAGGTCTCCTCCTCCTACAGATGCTGCTTGTCACAACGTTCTGCGAACAAAGTCACACTTTTAATGCCAAATCTAAATTCGCTTTTCTACAGTAGGACGATAATTGAGGTTAACCCCCAAGTTCACAGGCAATCCTAAAACAAGCTTAAATACGGTAAGGAGGCAGGTTAACTAGTTTTCTGAAGGCCAAATTTGCTTGCTTTTCTATCTGCTATTGCTAGTCTTTGGGACACCTAAAAATGTAAAGGGAACTCTGACCATCCTTTCAATCCCTTATTTCTTGTATCTGGAATAACCTTTCTCAAATCGTTTCCTTCTCTATCTCAAAAAGTCGTGAGGATTAAGGTAAAATAAGTAAAGCGATTACTGGAGTTAGACTCAGAGAAATTAACTATGACCGATATGTACAAGCGTATTGTAAGATCCGGAGCTGGATAGTTGGACACACTGGAGGCCCAAGTTGGGGAGTATCACCTTATTGCAAGTAGATCAACGATAAAAGGGGACAAAGAGCTCACTTAATGAGGAACGAAGAGCCCCAGGAGTAAACACTAGAAAGCATCTTTATTTACAGGGCAAATGGATGGAAAAGAAACGACTAATGAAATTTTAAAGAAGCTGTCATAGGTATATTACGCTAGAACGAGGCGTAAGAGTGGAACTTCCGCTACTTTCTAATTAACTACAGCTCATTAATCCCACTCCCACGGCCTGGAATCCGGACATTAAGGGGCCTCAGGAAGCCCAAAACGACTGGAGAAGCTCTAAGTGATCCGTGCCGACAGGAGAAGAGGCCCAGCGCCGCGCCAGACTGCAGCAACAAAGACCCCACGGCGAGACCGCTCCAGGAGCCTCACCAGGGAGCTGGGTCCGTCCGCGCAGTCAGGGACGGAGTTCACGCTCAGACTCCTCCGCCCGACCGGCTCTCACACCTCAGCCTCGCGGGCCGGCCGGCGCCCGAGGAGAGCCACGCGCAACCCGGCGCTGCCCACGGCGGTCCCAGCCAGCCGGGACCCACTCCTGGTCCCCTTTCAATTCCCACCCGGACCGGCAACCCGCCACCCCCACTCCGGTTCGCTGCCTGAGGCGAGTCTACGGAGTTCGGTAATTACCTGGAGCTACACCGCGCCGCCATTACACCGGAAGCGCGTCACTTCCCCTTCCCGACCCGGCAGTGCGAGGAAGGCGGTACGTGAAATACATAAAAACCTGACGCTAAATTCACTTTAAAACGTTATCCTATTAATTTACTTCAAATGTCCTATCGTAATACCAAATTTAGAGCAGCGGGTCTGGCTTTAATTTTCTTTTACCAAGACGGCGACAAAAGGGAAGTTAATTCAAACTACAAAGTCCAGTATCCGCCGCCTGTGAGGGCGGAAATGACGTGAACAATGGTAATTTTTTAGGCTGAGAAGGTCGCAAGGTACGACGGGAATTGTAGTTCTTCTGGGTAGGCGCCGGAGACATCCAGTAGGCTCCTCTGAAACCTGGTAGTGATGGGGCTCTGGCAAAATTTACTCTAAAGCGCCTTCTCGGCAGTTGGCAAAAAATAGACCTTTCTAGTCACTTTTCCGTGAAAATCTTAGGAAGAGCAGACGCCTTTTTCAGACTTTTTTCAGTAGTTATATAAAGAATCTGTATAAGCAAAAATGTTAGAAGCGTTAAGTACCTATAAAGTTCCAAGATTTCAAGCCTACGGGAATGGGACCACAAACAAAATGAAGTAATGAGGAGAAGCTAATTTTGTAGAGAGGATGATGCCTCTGTTTGAGTTTAAGGTACCAGCTGGCAAGATATCCTGAGGATAAGGAGACTGGCTGGCCAATTTGGAAATAGCCGACTGTCCAGAGATCAGAGGTAATCAGTGAAACAGTTTTCTTTACTTTTCAATAGTAACAAAATCTAAAAGTTCAACTCCTGGTTACTGTTTTGGAAACTATCTTTTCTTAAAGCGACTGTATATGTTCCCCAACCTTCTATACACCAGGCCTGGTTTCTCCAAACATTTTTCTCTATTAGAATTTTAGAGTACTCATGCTAATGACCCCCCCCTTTTTTTTTGAGGCAGAAGAGTATAGCGATTACAGAAAAAGTTACTGGAGCAGGCCTATTTATGTTTAACTCTTTCTATTGATGTACTCCTGGATGATTTTTCTGGGGCAACACTGTGTGCCCATTTTCTGTTAGGGAAAAAAATTAATACCTACCTTATAGAATACTTTTAAGAATGAATTAGCTGATACACTTGATGTATGTGACATAATTCCTACTACATAACAGTATTATCTATTTTTTTTATAGTTAACATATTTGACCATAGTTAAAGTACATTTTGGTGTCTCTAAATATTTAAGAGACTAGATTTCGATTGTACCAATACAGGGCACAGGGGATGAATCTGGTAAACATTTGTATTCATATCTGAAAAAAAAAAAAGCACAATACCACCTCTACAATTATCAATAGAAATAGGAAAGTTAGAATTGAAGCTAGGGGAGCTAAATGGAGCTGGAAAAGACTAGGTTTGTCGTTTGGAATTTGCTTCTTTCAGGAAGCAAACTGTGATACAGGGTTTGGAATGTAAAATGGTAAAAGGAAGAGGGAGGAAATTGGATGGGGCATGGGTAACTCCAGAGCAAAGGTGAAGAGTCCCACACTGTGATAAAATGGCTTGGCCCTTGTAACACAGTCCTGCTCACTCATTGGCTAGAGCCACCTCAAGGAGAATGTGGCCTCCATTCAAAACCTGAAATGTGCTTGGAAGTGTTAACAGTTGAAGGTTGTCTCCTAACCACACTCCTAGCAAAGAGCCTTTTCTTGAAAATGTATCTGAGTAGATTATCTCTTCGTCTGTCACAGTCCACCCCTTGCACTATTTAGATCCACTTTGTATATACATTCAGGGAGTAATTCCTACAGGGTTCCAGTGGCCTCTCTTCCTGAAGAGAAACTTACAAAAGTTAGTGGAACAAACTACAGTACCCATCTTTGCAGTTGGTCTTGGGCCACAGCTGAACCTTTCTCTCCCACTATTCATTCTAAATTCCTCTCCCTCTCAGCTACCACTTCTGCTGGTCTGAGTGGTTAAACTGGTGGTGTGAAAACCCTAGTTCCTGAGAAACTTGAGCCCCTAGTAATAATTGTCTTCTCATGTAGGTGTTGCTGCACTTGCCCATTTATAGTCACTATTGGGCAAGGTAGCACAAAGAGATGCCCAAGTGGATCACCTGAGTGCCACACATTTTCTTACCTGTTCCTGTTATGTAACATCAAGACTACATTCTCCTGCTGATCAGAGTTAGCTTCTCCTACCAAGGTGTTGACTCCTCTTTTTGCCTACTTGTCCCTGAACTCAAGAAGTCTAAAGTGCCCGTGTAGCAGATGAAGCTTAGTTCAGTGGGACTCTTGCTGTGTCCTCTAACAAGAATATAACACCTTTGGGGACTAGGACCTCTAATTCCACAAAGCTCAGAATTGCAGGAATGGGTCACTGGAAATGATGGTAAATGGGGCTAATCCTGTTTTAACCCTTTGTCTTGTGGACCCATGTATTGTTCCTAATGGGGACTCTAACCCATATCAAAGTCTCCTGCATCCTGGGGAACAGCACCTCTTCCTTGTAGAGTATTGTCTCCTGTTAGGTGCTTGAATTTTACTCTTAGTAGGCCATACCAGTGCTCTATTAGGCTTCCAACTTCTGGGAAATGCAGCATGTGATATAACTAGTGGAACCCATGGTCACAGGCACCCTCCTACACTACCTTTACTGTGAAGTGTTATCTAGTTGGATGCTATATTGTATTGTATTCCACATCTGTGAATCAGGCATTGTGTAAGTTTCCGAATAGTGGTGATGGATAAAGATTGGTGGGCATAAAGTGCAAACACATACCCAATATAGGTAATCTATTCCCATGGGATGGATCTGCAGCCCCTTCCAGGATGAAAGGTTCCAGTGTAGTCAACTTGCCATGGAATGGCTACTTGATCTCCTAAAGAAGTGATGACATTAGAAGCCCAACATTGCTCTCTTTTGCTGGCAGGTTGAACTTGCAAATGAGACAGTAGGTAAGTCAGCTATGGTAAATGGGCTTCATACTCATGGAACCCATACATAGACTCCATTTTTGTCACCATGACCATTTCACTCAAGTGTCCATGTGCCAACACTGGAGTGGCCGCGAACAAAGGCTAACATCAACAAGCTGAATAATTTTGTTTACTTGGTTGTTTAGTGCTTCTTCTGCAATGTGTGCTTTCTTATGGACATTGATTGTGTTCAAAAGATCTTCACACTTTTTACCCACAACAATATGCATATCCATATACCTCTCACCCTTTAAGATCTCCTTGTCTGCAATTTTTTTTAAAGATTTTTTTTTTTTTTAATTTGAGACAGAGAGAATGAGAGACAGAGAGCATGAGAGGGGGGAGGGTCAGAGGGAGAAGCAGACTCCCTGCCGAGCAGGGAGCCTGATGCGGGACTCCGATCCCGGGACTCCAGGATCATGACCTGAGCCGAAGGCAGTCGCTCAACCAACTGAGCTACCCAGGAGCCCTCCTTGTCTGCAATTTTTAAAATCTCTTTCTTTCAGACCTCTGACCAGCCAGCCAAGCTTTTTGCCATTACCTGTTAGTCTGTTTATACTCTGACAATTAGGCCTCTTTCCTTCCCATACAAAGTGGATGACCAGGTGCACCCCCTGAAGCTCTACCCAGTAGCAAGATTGTCACTCTCCTGTCTTCAGGGCTATTCTAGAGGGAGGCTGTACTGTAGTTGCTGTCCGGTTTCAGGTTTCATGCACATACTTAGCCAATTCATCTGTAAACTAAGCTCAGCCATTTTTTTCTTTCTTCAGCTTGTTGTTCAAGACACCACCCCTCTCCCATATGGCCATCAGTGCAAGCTGAGAGGGGTGTGGATGCAACTGAAGGGTGACATCAAGGTCTGGACTGTCTGTTCATGTGGATTGTTTGTGCCTTCTCATCTTTGTGCTTCATCCCAAATATAATACTTTCATCTTATGATGAATTATGACTGGGCCCTCCAGTATTTATGACATGATGGGTTCAACAAGACATATTTCATTTTGTATCATTTAGTGTCCCATGGTCAAACATTCCCTTTTTTTTTCCAGTAGCATGCCAAGACCTAATTTTTTTTTTTTTAAAGATTTTATTTATTTGACAGAGAGAGCACAAGCAGAGGGAGACAGAGGGAGAAGCAGGCTCCCTGCTGAGCAAGGAGCCCAATGTGGGACTCGATCCCAGGACTCTGGGATCATGACCCGGGCCAAAGGCAGCTGCTTAACGGACTGAGCCACCCAGGTGTCCCTGAAGACCTAATTTTTAAAAGGTGTGGAACCTTGCTTCAGAACTCCAGGTGCCTGAACTGTGATTCTCCCACTAGATTTCCGTAAACTCAATACTGTGTCTTTTTCTAAAAGTGACAACTCTTAACACCCTAGAATGTGCCAGATCCTACACCACAAGTGTCAAGGCCGCTCGCGCCACCACTCAGACCTGCTGTCGAGCTCTTTTGCCAGGTTGTAAAGCTGGCAGCTTTTTGTGTCACCTGGAATGAGGGCCCCCAAAATATTCCTAGATGTGCAGTATGTTGCTTAACGGAACTCAAAGCAGCCTTGTAGGCACTGTGCTTTCTTCTT